ATGTCTATAAAATAAACAGAATAAGTATAAGTCGTTAAAAACAAGGTAGTTAGATAAGGGAGAGCACTAATAGGGGAATCAGGAAAGATTTCATGTAGAACTTGAATAGTATTTGAGCTACTTCTTGAAGAAAAGTAAGGATGGATTTGATGGGTTTAGAGATGAGGAGATAATACATTGCAGGCATGGGGGACAACCAATTCGTGGAATTCATGTAGAATGTCACACGTAAGGAAGAGTGAGAAAACCAGTGTGGTTGGATAATTCAGGAAGGAGTATAATATGTAACAGGTCTGGAAAGATAGTTTGGAGCCAGATTGTGAAGGCTTTTAAAACTGAACAGAGGAATTTATTTTTTGATCCTACAGGTAACAGGAAGCTACTGGAGTTTATTGAATAAGGGAATAACACTATCATATCTATGTGGAAGGTGGTATGTGGAGGAAAGAGAGTTAAGCCCAGTATAATAATAATAATAATAATAATAATAATAATAATAATAATAACTAACATTTATATAATGCTTTAAGTTGCAAAGCACTTTATTTGCTCCTCACAACGACTGCTAAGTGATTTTACCCAGGATTATATGGTTAGTGTGACAAAAATGTCCCTGAATCCATTGACTAGGAACGGCCAATCACCAATCAACAACACAGAAAAGGAAATACTATTATGTGTTTTTATTATATTTATTATGCTCAGAGCACAGATAATACTGAACACTGACCAGTAAATAAGTCAGTGATTCCTGAGCATCTTTGTAAGTTACCTTATATAGGATATGGTTACATAAACAGGATGGGTAAAATGGAAATTTACAGATAAAAGAAAGGGAAGAAGAGGAAGGCATTTCCACATTAGAAAAAGCAGGAAGCTAGTTTTTTAAAACGGGAGCAGTGCTTGTTGTCTTAAGCTTGATTTTTGCAAACTTCAGTAGGGTATGTGATGTACATGTTTAAAGCAAATGGTGTCAGGAAGCCTGAGCCAGAGTTTTTCCTATCACATTCTTTTTGTCCTAGATTGCATTTGTGTATTTTAGCTCACATTCTTACATGTTCTATCAATCTCCTCTCTAGATACCTTCATATAAGTTTTTTTGGCAGACGTTTCTGATGCAGTTTAGGGGTGCTGGAACCCCCCAAATTTCAGGGTACAGGGTGGCATTGCCTGGAATGAACTCATGCTCTCAAACTGTCTTCCAGTCAAGTGGCAAAGTTTATTATGACACCAGTAGAAGTGGGTGAGGTTCCTTAGGGAACTTGCAACCTGACAGGAATGATGTTAAAGCTTGTATGGAAAAGGGACAGCAAAAGAATGCCAGATATGCTAATTAGGTGATAGGGATGGTGATAGTGATGAAGGGTAGGGGTGGGGGTTTGGAGGGTGGGAGTAGGGAGTGGTCAGTATATGCAAGTAGTCTAGGTGCTGGACTACTGGAATGTATGGGAAAAATCAGGGAGTCAACAGAGATAGTTTTGTTGAGGGGACAAGATAGAAGGGTTGCTAGAGCATGGTCCCTGAGAATATGGTACCTGAGAAAGAGTCCTTGGACCAGCACCTTGCACTGATATCAAAGGAATTACAAGGTCACTTCTGCATGTGCCTGTAACAAGGAGAGAATTTTCTCACAGGGGCTACTGAGATTATGGGTGCTTCCAAAGACATAGTCTCTGCCTTTTGGGGTCCAGTTCCCCCCCCCCATTTCTACAGGCAGATATAAGTGCTGTAATATAATGAACACAATAATACAGCAAAATCAATATAATAACAATTCTTAGTATTATGTAATCCAGAGTTTTCATAATTTCCATGATCCAACTCGTTTCTGGCAACCAACTCCAGTTAGATATCCATTCATGTTTAAGTTCCTCCAGACCCTTTCCAAACTCTCCCAGATGATTCAGGTACTAATAGTAAGGGTTTGGCCAGACACACATGGGCAGCTAGGTGGTGCAGTGGATAAAGTGCCAAGCCTAGAGTCAGGACACTAGCCTCTGACACTGGCTGTGTGACCTTGGGCAAGTCACTTAACCCTGTTTGCCTCAGTTTCCTCATCTGTAAAATGAGCTGGAGGAGGAACTAGAAAACCACTCTAATAGCTTTGCCAAGAAAACCTCAAATGAGGTCATGAAGAGTCAGGCCTAACTAATCTACTAAACAACAACAGACGTGTGCAATGTTCAATTAATATGCATTTGAACAATAAGTTTCATAGTTCTCTCTTCTTGGGTTTTGCTGTTTTCTTCATGACTTCTTCTGTTTCCGGTAAATATTTTCCCTTGGAAATTCTGTGTCAAAGCGATCAGCCCTTCACCACTGTCTACAAATTGTCCAGCTTGATCAAGAGACATGCATCTTTCAATCAGCGTATCAGTGTGTTTGACTGGAATGTTAATACTACCTTGAGGGAGGGAAGATTTGCAAAGGTATTTTCTTCAGTAGATCAGTTTTCAGGGTTCTGAGCCATTTGTGGAAGTTTTTTAGGTAATGCTGCTTAAACTTGTTAGTGGGGGGAGGTAGGTGGTGCAGTGGATAGAGCACTGGCTTATTATCTGCGAAGAGCTAAGTCTATCAAAGTCAGTAATTGCATTGTGGCTGTCACTATGTACAATGTTTTCCTGGTTCTGCACATTTCACTCAGCATCAGTTCATGTAAGTCTTTCCAGGTTTTTCTGAGATCTGCCTGCTCATCATTTCTTATAGCACAATAGTATTCCATTACATTCATATACCACCACTTGTTCAGCCATTCTCCAGTTGATGGGCATCCCTTCAATTTCCAATTCTTTGCCACCACAGAAAGAGCTACTATAAATATTTTTGTGTATGTGAGTCCTTTTCCCATTTTTTATGATCTGTTTGGGATACAAACCTAGAAGTGGTATTGCTGGTTGAAAGGGTATGCACAATTTTATAGCACTGTGGGCATAGTTCCAAATGGCTCTCCAGAATGACTGGATCATTTCACAACTCCACTAACAATACATTAGTGTTCCAATTTTCCCACATCTTCTCCAACATTTATCATTTTCCTGTTTTGTCATGTTAGCCAATCTGATGGTTGTGATATGGTACCTCAGAATTGTTTTGATTTGCTATTCTCTAATTAATAATGATTTAGAGCATTTTTTCATGTAACTCTAGATGGTTTTAATTTCTTCATCTGAAAAGGTGCGTGAGGAATAACATGGAATTGTATCTATATCCCTAATATCTAGTATATTACCTGGCACATTAAAGGAGTGTAACAAAGGCTTATTAACTTGAGTACCTTTTACCTATTTTAATGGCTATATTTGGTGGAAATGCTTCTTTCTCTAAATGACTAAAGGTGAGAGCCTCTATATAAAATGTATGTATCCAAATAAAATGTATTGAAGGATATTCTGTACTACCAACTTAGACATCAGAAAAGTTAGGTAATAAGGTGTTTGTGCTTGGACCCCAGCCCTAGGACCACATTTCTCCACAGCCCAAAGAACCTATCTCTGGCGCAACCTCATGAGTGGGCCCCAGTAAGGCAAACTATCTCTCCCTGTTACAAGAACAAGCTGACATCTGTAGAATTTCCCTTGTATGAATAGTACTATTTTGTATTAGCAGAATTATCATGTACTGATTCGCACAGTTACTATATACAATGTAGAGGTCAAGCTATGGACATCAACTCCTGAGGCTATCTTGTTAACAGATGTAGCCGACCAAAATCAAACCCCTTAGAAATCCTCTTCCTAAGGGTTTCCAGTGGTGAATGATGCCAATGCCCAAGGTACAGAAACTATTTTCCTTTTGGAGCTGACCACTCCTTGATCCAGCACCACCTAAAGCTTGGTACACGATTCACTGAACTTTTTCTATATAAGCTTTAGCATCACCCTTATTAAGTTGTAAGTTCCCTAAGGAGCTATGCCCACTTTGTTAATGTGATAATACACTTTTTGCCACTTGACTGGAAGACTGCTTGAATCCCCAAATTCTTTCCAGATGACTCTGCCCTTTACCTCAATAAACTGCATCATAGAGATGGGAAATGCTGTGAGTTCTTGGGTTCTCTGTCTTTAGGTGAGCTTCCCTTACTTCTCAGAGTGACCTGGTTGTCAGATCAGCTTGAAATGAGGGTTGGGAGCAGCAGCAGCAAAAATGAATTTGGCTTTTCCTTTTTTTAGAAACAGAAGGTCCCATCTATAACACAAGGTTAGTTATATTTCACCAATTTTCTTTGCTTCCCAGGGGAAAAGTGGAGGTAGGTAGAAGCAAATGTGTTATCTTCACTCTCAGATTACTTGACAGGGTGAAAAGGGAGAGAAGGAAGTGGTTATCCCTGTTTTCATGGAGGTAGGATTTTTGGCTTTTATGGCTTTGGCCATGAAATAGTCCCAGGGCTTAGTTCTCACTGATAGGAGATTAAGAAATCTGAAAACTCTCAGTGCTTGAGTATATTATGGGAAATGAATAGAAGACCTGTACATTTGTATATATTCTGATCCTTTTTTGGTCAACATTTGTATAGCTACCATTGACAAAACTAAAAAGAAAGGTACCAAAGTTTGTTTGTGGACTGAATTCTGATTTAACATTTAATTTTCTTGAGCAAATCTCTGGATTCTAAAGCATGTTGAAAAGGGAGGTAATTACAAATGTGGGGATGCATGCAAATAATGGCAGTTTGTTGACATTCAGAAAGGAGGGATGGTACTTGTAGTTAAAAAAATTCTAAAAAGCAAATGTCCAGTGGGAATGGTCATAGCAATCATAAACCAAATATTGTGAAATAAATTGTTGCATTCGTAGTGTAGCTGGTCCTGGTACATGTGAGTATAACTGATAATTCTATAAATATGGATAGTATGTAAATCAAGAATTGCATGTATTTTTAATTTATTTAAGTTCTATGTGAAAGTGACCTACCTCCCCTAAGGAGCTCTGCCCGCTTTGTTGGCATTATAATACACTTTTTGCCACTTGATTAGAAGATTGAGTCCCTGAATTCTTTCCAGATGACTCTGCCCAGTACCTCAATAGTTTTGGGTCCCTGTACTCCTCAACCACATCGTAGAGACAGGAAATGCTGCGAGTTCTTGGGTTCTCTGTCTTTAGGTGAGCTTCCCTTACATTCCCATTATGTGCTTTTAACAGTATGTGAAGATTAAGTGAGGGTGATGGCTCATAGGTAAAATGGAAAGATATAAAGGTGGAGCATTTTTGCATTAGTTAATCTGATTCCCAAATATATTCACAGTAAGTTTTAAAAGGATTACAGCTTTGATGCATGTTAGATTTCTTGAAAAACTGAATTTTTTTTTCTCATTTACCATAATTAAGAATTAAGACCATAATAAAATTGTCCACTTTATTAGACTTAGTAAAATTTTGGGAGACTGGGGCAATGTTAATTATTCAGATATAATATGATTTTATTTTTTTTCTTGAAATCTTATTTTGTGGTACATCAGAAATAGGTCATATTTTAATTTCCTTTAAAATAAGCTTGAAAGCTACATATGTATTATTACTTATATTTTAAAATTTTATTGAGATCTTTTGTTTTATATGACCTTTGTTATTTAATAAATCCCTCTCCTGTTCTCTCCCCTTCCAGCGAACCATCCTTGTGACAAACAATTTTTAAAGAGGAAAAAAGCAATTCAAAACAACTAACGAGCACATTAACTCAGTCTTATAGTATAGGTAGTAGTAGTAGTCCCCCACATCCTTAAAGAAGGGAGAGGTGTGCATTTTCTCCTCTGTTTTTCAGGGTTATCATTTTTATGTAGAGTTTAGTTTCATTATCTTCCTCCAAGTTTCTTAAATTTTAATAAAACATACTGTTAGTAAATGTGAATTTTCATGTTTCTTGTTTTTATATAGGATTTTAGGTTGCTCCAGCATTTTATGTGAACTGGAAAAGAGTGGATCCATGAACTTTTAAACATAAACTATATAAATGAGTATAAATATTTGATGAGAAACTTCCTTATCTTATGAAGAGAAGATGAATAAGACAATAACTTCATCAACATATGTAAGGTGCCTAAATGTTGGCCTGATTAGGCAGCTGGCAGATTTTATTGATCCTCAGGAAGGATGGAAGAAGTTAGCAGTTGATATAAAAAAGCCTTCTGGAGATAGTAGATATAACCAATTTCATATAAGGTAAGGCATTAAAGTCCCTTCCTTTGGAAAATGGTAATACCATATTTCTTATATCAAAAGACATACATTAGTACATTCATTCAAAAAGAATTTGTTGGGTATCTGCTGTATGCCAGGCACTGTGCTAAGTGCTAGGGATATCTTTGCCTTCAAGGAGGGGCAACTAGGTGGTGCAGTGTCCTGGAGTCATGAAGATCTGAGTTCAAATGTGACCTCAGTTATGGCTATGTAATGCTGGGCCAGTCATTTAACCCAGTTTGCCTCAGTCTCCTCATCTGTAAAATGAACTGGAGAGGGAAATAGCAAACCACTCCAGTAATTTTGCTGGGCCAAACCCCAAGTGGGATCATGAAGAGTCGTACATGACTGCATACATAACAAAATGCCTTCAAGGAGCTTGTATTCTATTAGGGAATTTCCTGACTACATAGTTATAAATATTCATAAATACTCAAATACTATAGGTCCTGCATTTCAGGTAATGGGCTACAAAGGAGGAGGTTTGGGGAGAATTTTGACATTTTTGCTTAGGTACCTAACATTTAAACTTGAAATACTATTTAGTATTGTGATATTATATGTAGAATCTTTGGTTAGAAGTTAAGATACTCATCCATACCATTGAGTCAATGCTTGATCAGCTAAGAACATATCAAAATGCATGAATTTAATAGTGATGATATTAATTGCTATTTGTACTACACTGGAAGGTTTGCAAAGTGCTTTACATATATTAGATCATTTGATTTTCCCAAGCACTCTGGTGTAAGTAGTGTTAGGTGTTATCATTCCTATTTTGCAGATAAGGAAACTCATATTAAGGATAATAAAGATATCTCTGAGGTTGAGTAACTTGGCCATTGTAATAGATAAACACCTGAGTTCTTTCTACAGTATCCCCAACTCCCTTAAGTTGTTGCCTATGGGGTTTTATGTCTATAAAACAAATACACAATTTGCCATCTAAGTAAATAACAGTCCTGGTATTGCTGTGATCTGCAAATGTGGCTTTTATTTTTATCAGTCAGTGTAGCCACAAAAGTACATCGTGATCAACAGAGAGAAAGAGAAGCTTCTCTGTGGTTTTCAATCTGTCAGTAAACGTTCATTAAGAACCTCTTATGTGCCAGGGACTGTACTAAGTGCTAGAAATACAAAAAGAGGCAAAAACGGTACCTGCCTTCCAGGAGCTTACAGTCTAATGAAGGAGACAACATGCAAATAAAGCAAGCTATGTACAGGATAAATAGGAAATAATTAGCAGAGGGAAGCACTGGAATTAAAAGGGGTTAGAGAAGGTTTCCTGTAGAGGGTGGAATTTTTGTTGCTACTTAAAGGAAGACTGGGAGGTCAGAAGTCAGAGAGGAGGAGGGAAGGTGTTCTAGGCGTGGAGGACCGGCAGAGAAAATGATTGGTGAGAGAGAGAGCCTTGTTCATGGAATAGCCAGAAGGCCAGTGTCACTGGATTGCAGAGTACTTGTTGAAGAGTAAGTCATAAAAGGCCTGGAAAGGTAGGAGGGGGCTAGGTTATGAAGGGCTTTGAATGCCAAATAGAGCGTTTCGTATTTGATCCTGGAGGCAATACGAAGCCACTGGAGTTTATTGAGTGTAGGGGGTGACATGATTGGATTTGCATTTTAGGAAAAGGGAGGATAGACTGGAGTAGAGAGAGATAGCAGGCTGGCAGACCCACTGGCAGGCCATTGCAATAATCCAGACATGAGGTGATAAGGGGCTTACACCAGCATGGTGGCAGTATCAGAGGAGAGAAGAAGTGAAAGGGGCACATGTGAGAGATGTTGCAACTGTGAAATTGGTAGGCCTTGGCAACAAATTGAATGAGGGTGAGAGACAGTGAGTAATCCAGTATGACTTTTAGGTTGGAGCCTGGGAGACTTGGGAGGATAGTGTTGCCCTCTCCAATAATAGGGAAGGTAGGAGTAGGAGGACTAGGAGGAGGGATATTTAGGGGAAAAAATAATGAGTTCTATTTGGGACATACTGAATTTAAGATGTCTATTGGATACTCAGTTTGAGATGTTTGAAAGGCATTTGGAGATGCGAGATTGGAGGTCAGCAGAGAGACTGGGGCAGAATAGGTTTTGATTTGAGAATCATCAGGCTAGAGACGGTAATTAAATCCATGGGAGATGATGAGATCATCATAAAGTGTCAGAAGAGGGAAAAAAAAGATGGCCCAAGATAAAACCCTGAGGGACACCAGTAGGTAAAGGATGTGGTCTGAAGGAGGGCCAATCAAAGGAGTTAAAGGAGTGGGCAGATAGGAAGAAAAACAGGAGAGTGCTATCCTGAAAATGTAGAGAGAAGAGATTATCAAAGAGGAGAGAATGATCCTCAGTGTCAAAGGCTGCAGAGAGGTCAAGGTGAATGAGGATTGAGAAAAGGCCACCTGATTTGGCAACTAAGAGATCATTAATAATTTTGGGGAAAGCAGTTTTGGTGGAATGATAAAATTGAAAATAAAATTGTACGGGGTTAAGAAGAGGGTGAGAGGAGAAAGTGGAAGTACATATTGTAGGTGAACTTTTCAAAGAGTTTAGCTACACAAGGCAGAAGAGATATAGGATGATAATTAGTGGGGATGGAAGGAACGATCAAGTGAGGGCTTTTTCAAGATGTGAGAAACATGGGCATGTTTGTAGGCAGTAGGAAATGATCTAGTAGAGACAGAGAGATTGAAAACAAGTGAAAGGGTGGGGATGACAGTGGAGGTGATAATCTGTTGGAAGAGATAGGATGGAATGGGATCACTAGAACAAACAGAGGAGTTAGTCTTGGTAAGAAGTAAGTCCACTTCATCATGTGAGACAGGGTGAAGTAAGAGATAGTGGAGAAAGCATCTGAGTGATAGGAGATAAGAAGAGGAGAGAAGATGGAGATCACAGAGAAGGTCTCACTTTTTTTTTTCTGTAGAATATGAGGCAAGATTCTTATCTGTGAGAGTGGGGGAGGAGGAGCTGTGGAAATTTTGAGGAGAAATGATAAAGTTTGGAAGAGCCACTGTGGAGCATGGGATAGTGAATTGATCAGGGAGGTACAGCAGCACTGCCTAGCAGCAGTGAGGGCCAAGTTGAGGTTTTGTAACATAGATTTGTAGTAGACAGTTGCATCAGTCAGATCAGTTACATGATTTTCATGGGAGTGATCCAAGGTTTGGCTGGGTGTGACTGGAGATATGATAAGGGGGTTGGGGATTCAGGAGAGGAAGACAATATAGAGTTGAATTTCACCAAGCAGTCACAATGGGCTGAATAGAAGAATGACTAGTGCAGGGAGAAGTCTGGGAGAGAATTGAGGGGTTAAGGGTTTATAGGTCGTGGTACAGATGAAGAGTAGGATTATGTAGGCTGAAGCAGAGAGATGAAAAGCCAACATGCCAGAGAACTTGAAGCCTGAACAGGAGATTGTACTGACTCCCTTATCACTACATTCAGAAAATAAAATTTATAAATAAAAAGATGAAATTCTTAAGAATCTTGAATTAAAATTTATAAAACAGAATTGAAGGTAGTATACACAAATTGCTAGTCAACATTTGTAATGATTCAGATTTTTAAAAATCACCATTTTCAAAAAATAATCTCTTTTAAGAAGTAATAGAAAAATTTTTAGCATTGATGCTTCCATTTTTAATGTAAATATACAAGCAATAGTAGTGAAGATCAAAAGAAAGGTACGTAGCATAGTGTATATGTTTTTCATGATATTGATTTAAATTTAATTATCAAATTAAATTAAATCATATTAGTTTAAATTAAAGATTGAATTTGCATTGTTTCTTAAGTCTCAGAGGGAATGTAAGTAGTACATAAACATATCTTGCTTCTATACAAGGCTACACTGAAACTAAATGAGAGTTTAACATTTGCTTTAAAATCTCAGGAGAATGAAATTTCCCAATTCCTGTTCCTAGTATATTTATATTGCCTCTAAAAATTCTCAGTTTTATTTAGAGATTGATTTTACTTTTTTTGACTCACTTTCTTTCAAGGAGATTTGAAGGATTACTTCAAACTGGAAAGAGTCCCACTAGTGAACTACTCTTTGACTGGGGAACCACAAATTGTACAGTTGGAGACCTTGTAGATCTTTTAATCAGAAATGAATTTCTAGCCCCAGCACGTCTGTTGCTGCCAGGTATAGTTTTTCAAGATTTGATATGGAAGATGCAGAAGTGGAAACATTTCTTCTTTCTCTTTGCTTTTTCTCACAGTAAAGAAAAAGTGTTTTGTTTTTACCTTTCTTCCAATCTTTTGGTTGGCAAAGATCAATGAATTCTAAATTAGTAGGTCCATGATTCCATTTTAGAGTACCTATATAGATGTCACCATCTCTAGCCCTTGAAAGCAAGAGCAGGTGACCTTGCAGTGATGGGAGTTTCAAATAGATATAGCCCTCAGAAAACCTATCAGTTTGAATTTCTGTATGTATCAGGAAATTAAATGTTCTTTTGGCATCATAATTTTCATCTCCCAAACCTCAGCCCCTATGACATTAAAACATGGACTGCTCTTTTTACTTTTCACTGTCTTTCATATACATCTTAATCCTTATCATCTGTCTTGTTATGCCTGTCGTTTTATGGGGGGGCAAAATGTCAAAATTGGACTATGTTAAGTGGAGCAGGGTGGTGCTGGGCTATATCAGTTGCTTCATTTTCTTTAATGGAAAGATAAAATATCTTAGTTAACTTTGCAGATAATGTTCCAGAAAATGTTCATATACTTCCACAAGAAGCCGTTCAAAAGAAATTGCTGCCTCTTTATGATGAAGAAAAGACATATGTGAAACCTGTATTTATTCAGAATCATGAACAAATCTCTTCACCTCTGGACTCCTCAAGTCCAGACATGAAAAGTTTAGAAGTTAGCGATACATGTAAGTAACTTAAAAAAACTTAATTTAACAAAGATCTCTATTGGTTTCCAGTATTGAATTTGTAATAGAAGTAGCTGTACCTATTTAGAATTAAATTTAGAATTATTTTGTTGACTATTGAAGATATATTGGAAGCAAACAGTGGGGTACATGTCTTCATCCTGATATATTTGCTAAGTACCCAAGTATATACTTTGTTGAGCCATCCTCAGAAGTTCTTAACTTAGAGACTGAACTTTTTAAGGAAGAAAAAAAAATATATATATATATAGAGAGAGAGAGAGAGGGAGAGAGAGAGAGAGAGAGAGAGAGAGACACCTTTATTTTGATATAATTGATTTTCTTTATAATGAGTATTTTGTGAATTTAAAAATAATATTCTGATACTTTTTTCTACCTGTGTAATTATTCTTTTTTGATATCCTTAGTCATAGTCATCTTCTCACTTCCTGAGTTTGGATGTCCCCCAAGTATCTAGCTTAGGTCTGTCTCTCTTAGTGACCTCATCTGATCTAAATTCAGTTGTCACCTCTCTGTTAATAACTCCTAATTAATTATATTCAGCTGAAATCTTTTTCCTGAGTTCCAGTCCAACAGCTCTGTCTTTCAGCTGTCACTACTAGATACCCCATTAGCAACTCAAATTTAGTATGTCCTAAACTAAATTTATTATCTTTTGTTATAAATTCAGCCTGCCTCTCCTTGTAGCTTTTAAATTTTTTTAATGGCATCATGGTCCTCCCAGATAACTGGGCCTGAAAATTCAGTATAATATTTGATTCTTCCTTTTGAATTCCACATATCTAAACATTTACCAGGTCTTTTCAGTTCTAATACTACATTATCCCTTGTTTCTATCCCTTCTTTTCTATTCCCACTATTGCTACTCGTAACTCAAGTCCTCATTTCTTCTTCTCTGGTATTACATAATAATGTCCCTTCCTATAGTCTCTCTTTTTTCCAATCATGCCTTATGAAGCTGCTAAAATAATATTTTAAATTTACAGGTGTGATGCCACTAACCTGCTCAAAGATGTTTTAGTGGCTCCCTGCTTATAGGATAAATAAAATCTCTAAGCCTAACTTTTAAGGCTGTAAATAGTGTCTGCAGTCTACCTTTCTGTCTTTCTTTCATACTACTCTCCTTCATAAGTTTTGGATTTTAGCCAATCTAGGCTGATAGCTTTTTCTCAAACTTTTCTTGCAGTCTTTTGCCTCCATGTATTCAGATAAGCTTCATGTCCTGTCTCTTAACATTTACTACTTGTGTGACCCTGGGCAAGTCACTTAAACACCATGGGTTTCAGTTTTCTCATCTGTAAAATATGGGTTAGGAGCATTGATGAAGATGGTCTTTGAGGTCACTTCCAGTTTTAGACTTTTGATTTCTCATGCCTTGAATACACTCCTATCTCTGCTTGTTGAAATCCTCTCTTTAAGGAGATGAGAAGATTGTAAGAAAACACTTATCTGCCTTTGAATGAGTTAACTAACTAGACTGAGACAAACTCTGTCCCAGCTTACTGAAAGAACTAATGGGATGTGATTGATGAAGCATTGTCACAGAAGCAGAGTATTTGAGAGTTGTGAGGGACCTCAGTGACCATCTAGCTCAACTTATATATAAAAGAAATCCTCATTATAACATAAATTTTCTTTGAACTGTTGAGGAGAATGAGAAGGTTTGTGTAGGACTAGAAAAGTACTTTTCTTTTAGATTTAAAAAAAAAAAAGAAAGAAAACTGAAGAGAATAGAATCTGTAAGCTTTAGATAGGCCAGTGATCTTGGCTTGAATTTCTGGCCAAACAGGGCTTCTTAAACTTTTTCCATTTGTAACACCTTTAGTGCTGCGTTTTTTTTTTCTTAGGCAGTGGGTTAAGTGACTTACCCAGTGTCACACAGCTAGTAAGTGTTGTGTGTCTGAGGCTGAATTTGAACTCAGGTCCTCCTGACTCCAGGGCCGGTGCTCTATCTAGGTGCCACCTAGCTGCCTTACCCCTTTAGTGCTTCTTAAACTGTGGGTCATCACCCCATGTGAATTGTTTAAGAAGGGCTGTGTCTAGAATGTATCATCAAAGGAATGGTTTGTAAATATTTAGAAAAGGAAGTAGTGATCACAGAGAGGTGGCACTGCTTTCTCATAAAAATTGTGTGAAAATTAGATATTTTTTCAGATAAAATAGAAAATAATGCACTAGAGAAAGTAGTTTTAGCTATTTCCATGGTTTAGGACATTCAAAAACCAAACAAGGTAAAAACTCCACTGCTTACCACACTCTAGCAGTAAGGCTGCACATTAGGCTTCCAACAGAATTAAGCTCCATGCCCTGACCTCCTCTTCCTCCTTTATGTGCCATGGAGAGAGAGAAGGGGGCAAGACATGTGTCTGGGCTGTGATAAAGCTCAACTATCTACCTTCACCTCACCTGATGGTGCCTTTTTCCTGGTGCAGTGAAGATCCATATCCCAAAATAGCAGAAATTTTCTCAGGTTTCAGCCTACTGCAGTAGCATCATGACATCTCTCTGTGCCACTAGACTAGAGATGTGAGGAAAAGAAGAAATGAAGTAGAACATGTGTGTAGAGGGCTATGTGACACTCTACTAACCTGAGGGAAAGAGCCCAGCATCGAGCTGGGACCAGTTCTTTCCCTTAAGAAGTTACTTTAGACAGAGATCAGTAGTGATGAACCATTAATTGCCCAGCATGGGAGGAGGCAGAGACATTTTGAGATCTTTTCCACCCTCAGATGGGAGAGAGTCCAATGGTGATCAGTAGGAGAAAATGAGGGGAAAAAAAGACTGAAATTGCTAAAGATCTCAGAAGAAAAAAACCTCAAAGACCTTAAGTATTAGCAATAAACCAAAAGTGAAGATATTAATAGAGAGGATTGTAGCCTATAGATCCAGTAAAAGAGTTTAGGCATCTGTGAAAGGAAACTAAAGGGGACAGAGTCAAGATGGCAGAGTAAGAGTCAGCATTTTTGCCTAGTTCTCCCAACATAACTCCTCTAAAACGAAGTAGAAAATGCACAGAAACAAATTCTGTTGGGAAAACCGAGAAAAAGTCACAGTGAGTCATTTTCTAGCCCGGGGCAATTCCGGAAGACAGACAGGTCTGCAGACTCAGGTAGCAGCAGTAATGCCCCAACAGGTGAAAGTGACGGCAGGCTGTGACTGCAACAGTTGCAGTGGGGAGCAGCTCTGCAGCAAAGGATGGTAAGGGGTCTGAACACTTGGATAGAAAGAGATCCTAGGGGACCTCTGTGCTGGTACAGGAACAGGTGCCATCTAGAAGCTTTGTTGCCCATTATTAGCTCTAGGTCAAGGTTCTAGGGTGGAGAGGAGCAGTTGTAGTTGTGAGGGAGCAGAACCCTACCCAAGTAGGGAGCAAGGAATAAGTTTTAGAAGCCTGTGGGGCTCTGAGTCGAAGAACATAGTGGGGACTCAGTTCTAAACTTGTATGTTAGCCTGCAGTGGAATAAACCAGGGTGGGAGACCAAAACCCGAACCTGCAGAGCCTCCTAGCTGGACTGAGTCCCCCAGTATACAGAAATTCAACACATTAACATATCTAAAACTAGGTCAGGATTTTCAGAGCACAAACTAGGAGGGAAATGAAGAATTCTCTCCCTAGATCACACTAATTTGGAAGTAGTGAAAACTTGTAAGTCCTTAGAATGAGCTATGAACGCTGCAGAAGGGCATATAGGACAGAAGTTCAATATAGATATTCCCCCCAACAGGTGAGAAGAACCCAACACAAATATAAAGTCCAAGGTCAATAAGTAGGCTAGAGGGGCAGCTGGGTGGGCCTTGGAGTCAGGAGGACCTCGGTTCAAATGTGACCTCAGATACTTGACACTCACTAGCTGTGTGACCCTGAGCAAGTCACTTAACCATGATTGCCTCACCAAAAAAATGAAAACAACAACAAAGAACCTGACCATAAAAGATTCTACTATGCTGACAGGGCATCTCAAGACACAAACACGAAAGACAAAGACTTGAAAATATCTACAAGCAAGACCTGAAATAAACAAACAAAATAAAACCAAAAACAAATTACACAGAAACTCAATAAGGCTTCCTAAAAGAACTAAAAAAAGATTTTTTAAAAGAGCAGAAAATTGATTTTAAAAATCAAGTAAGAGCAGTAGAGGATAAAGTGGGAGGAAAAGTGAGAGCTATGCAAGAAATTTTAAAAAGAGATTTAACACCTTGGTAAAAGGGGTACAAAAATGCTGACGAAAATAATTCCTTAAAAATCAAAATTGACTGGTAATAGAGTTACAAAACCTCACTGAAGAAAATAATTTCTTAAAAACTGGAATTGGCCAAGTGGAAGCTAATGAACATTAAGAAACAATAAGTAAAACAATAAGTAAAGTAGAAGAAAATGTCAGATATCTCAGGGAAAAGAATTTTTTACCTGGAAAATAGATCAAAGAGAAGTAACTTAAGAATCCCTGTTTGTTGTTATTTTTCAGTCATGTCCAATGCTGTGACCCCATTTGGGGTTTTCTTGGCAAGATACTGGAGTGGTTTGCCATTTGCTTCTCTAGTTCATTTTACAGATGAGGAACTGGAGTAAATAGGGTTAAATGACTTGCTCAGGGTCACACAGCTAGTAAGTGTCTGGGGCCAGATTTGAACTAAGAATTGAAGTTTTTGAATTGTGGTGCTGAAGACTTTTGAGACTCTCTTTGACAGCAAGGAGATCAAATCAGTCAGTGCTTAAAGAAATCAATTCAAAGTATTGACTGGAAGGACAAATACTGACAAATATTTAAATACTTTGGCCACATAATGAGAAGATATTGGAAAAAGACCCTGATGTTGGGAAATATTGAAGGCAAAAGGAGAAGGGGGTGGCAGAGGATGAAATGGATAGATAGTGTCATGGAAGCAACAAACATGAGCTTGAATAGACTTCAGGAGAAAATAGAGGCTAGGAGGGCCTGCTATGCTATAGAAGAGTTGGACAATGACTGAACAACTGAACAACAACAAATATAAACTGTTTGAAAACTAGGTAAAGAACAAGTCCTACCAAATCCTTTCAATGACACAAATATATTTTAATTTCAGAACAGAAATTTCAACCAAATTAATTCTTGATTTATAATTACTAATGGCAGTGTTTAAATCTCATTTTCCCCAGGCTTTCAGTTAGCTCATCTTCGAAAAGTTTATGGTGGCAATCCCAGTTCCCCATAACTTTATTTATTTTTTCAAATAACCCAAAGAGCCAAATCAGTTGCTTTTATTTTCTTAACATAATCCTACTAGTGTACTAAAAGGGAAGATAAAGGGCACATCTCTCCTTACCCTGAAGCGTTTTAGTTGTAACCCAGACAGGAAAAGCTACTTAGTAATTTTTTTTTTACCAAGACCTTTAGCGTAGCTGTTTAAACCAGACCAAAAAACCAGTGTTTTCTCTATCAATAAATTAGTTAATATGTATGTTAAATTTTTACTTCACAGTCTTATGAAATTTCTCTTGTAATCTTTATTGTTTGGGGAAGGGAGTATGTTGATTGGGGGAGACATACAGTACTTGTCAAAGAGGCATTTCACTAAAAATTCCTCAAATCTTATCAAAACCCTTCTTCAGACCTCCTTTTTCCAAACTCTAAAACCCTTTACTTTCAAACCCTCCACACCTTCAGTGCAAACAGACCCCAGTTTTCCTTTAATTCTGTCTATTCTTATTTCATTCCTACTTGCTTAAACTTTCTTATCTCCTTCCTTTTTATATCACTTCAGTGGACTTTGATTAAAGCACTTCAAAACTGCCCCTTCCATATTCTGATCTGACACTTCTCTTGTTTTTTTTTTCTATTTGCTTAATTCCTCTAGCCTTTATTTCCTAATCATATCCAATCTATAGACTTAATCTTCATTATTCAGCAGCAGGTGGCACAGTTGATAGATTGCTGGGCCTGGGGTCAGGAAGACTCAGAAGTGTCTGATCTCAGACACTAGCTCTGTGACTCTGGGGAAGTCGCTTAACTCCATTTGCTTCAATTTTTCATCTATAAAATGAGTTGGAGAAGGAAATGGCAAACCACTCCAGTGTCTTTGTCAGGAAAACCACAAATGGGGGTCACAAAGAGTTGGGCACAACTAATCAACTAAATGACAACAACAAAATGAATTTTCCTTTACACTTTAGTACAAGTTTTTATTACAGAAAACCAATTAATTGCAATACTGTCATATTTTGGGGTTCTTACTTTAGGGATTTTAAGTTACACTGATGATGACATTGGTCATAGCCAAAATATTATAAATTGTTTTATTTATATGTATGTCTGTTCATAATTGCTCTTATTTGTTAAATTATATATTCAATAATTTTAATATTTATTTAAATAGATAATTGTTAATGGGAAAGGAGTTTTCTGTAGTTCATTGAATAATGTTTATAAATTAAAGTGGAGTTCAAACTAACTGGTTAATTTTAGAGAAGAAACTTTTAAGTTTTGGGGGCAGCTAGGTGGCACAGTGGATAGAGCTCTGGCCTTGAAGTCAGGAGGACCTGAGTTCAAATCTAGGCCCAGACACTTAAAAAAACAATAGCTGTGTGTTCTCCAGCAAGTCACTTAACCCCAATCACCTTACCAAAAAGCAAAAAGAAAAAAAGAAAAAAAAAGAAAACCAAAACTAAAAATCAAAAATGGGGTCATGAAGAGTCAGACACAACTAATTAACTAAAAAACAACAAAAAAATTACAAGTCTATTAAGCAGTAATAAATGATCAAAATATACCTTTAGGTCACTATAGACAACAAGAGGATAAACATAAATATATAGTTAAGAACTCAAATAGCTGACTGAAGTTGGAGTAACTGACGAGTGTGTGGTCAGACTCAGTAGTACCTGTTTAAGTATGTGTATGAGGGAATTATGCATGCTCTCCATTGAGTCTGTTGGAAAGACATACTAACTTAGAGTTTTGATATAATAATTTTAATCTTTTTTCCCCCCATATAAGGTCAATAAGGGGGCATTTCCTGCAGTGTTAGTATTTAAATTGGAACAAATCATTGATTATCTGGAAACTCTGAATTTTTCTTTTATCTAATGAACTTTTTTCCTCTCATTGATATTCCAGGTTTTCAGAGTTTTTCATTTTATGAATTAAAAAGTATTACAAATAACTTTAATGAGCACCCTATATCAGCTGGTGGAAACAAAATGGGAGAAGGAGGCTTTGGAGTTGTATATAAAGGCTGTATCAATAACAGAACCGTGGCAGTGAAGAAACTTACAAATGTAAGTTATCATTCCCTGTAAGAGAAATTAGATGGTCATTTTGTAACGAGATTGTTTTTTTTTTTTAAAGATTGGGTCTCCCTTTTTTGCATAGTCTAGAAATACAGCAGCCAACTCACAGGCCAATCCTCCTGCTGATTGACATGGAAACTTTGACCTGCTCAGTTGCCAGTCTGAGTTGTTTCACTCCCTCCTTAGGCAGTCTACTGGCCTCCCACTTGGAAGGGCAAACCATAATAGTGCTTTTATTATGCGTTATCCCTATTGTAACTCAGTTAGCTTTTCCCTATTGTAACTCAAAACTCCTAAATTTAAGCAATCCACCAGCCTCAGAGTCTTACAGACCCCACCATGCCCAGAAAAGTAACAGTTTTAGACAATCATTTTGTTCATTGCATTGGAGTAAGTTGAAAGCAATGTTTACTTTTACTCACTTGAGTAAGCATTACCCGAAACCTTACTTTATGTATGCTAGGCAGTGTGGTATAGGAAAGGGTGCTGGACTTGAAGTCAGGAGAATTAGGTTCACATCTGGCTTCAACATTTATTATTTCTCTATCACTTTACATCTTAAGAAAGTAATATTTGCATTTCCTGTTGTTGTGAGGAAAGTGCTTTGTAAACCTTAAAGCACAATGTAAATATGAGTTGTTTCTGTAACTAAAATGATAAGAAAAAAGTAATTATTCTGACATAAGTAGACTTATTCAAGATTGGAAAAAACACTTTAAAAATTTAAAAAGATAATTGTTAACATCTGTGCAGTATTTTATGATTTCTTCTTTGCTCACCAATATAATGATTTGTGGTTTCATCACTGTGATTGTAGCCAGGTCCCCTTCTCCTCTTTCCCCACATCAAAATCACCCTCTATCACTCTAGTGATGAGTTTCTTCTAATTTAAATAGGTGACACTTTTCAGACAACAGAGATGTAGTCCATCTGTCCATCTTTCCCTATAGGAGGAACTTCAAGTTTTGGGGGCAGCTAGGTGCCACAGTGGATGGAGTGCTGGCCCTGGAGCCAGGAAGATCTGAGTTCTAATCCAGCCTCTGACACTTAACTAGCTGTGTGACCCTGGGCAAGTCATTTAACCCTGTTTGCCTCAGTTTCCTCATCTGTAAAATGAGCTGGAGAAGGAAATGGCAAATTGCCAGTATCTTTGCCAAGAAAACCAAACCAAAAATAAAAAATGGGGTCATGAAGAGTCAGACACAATTAATTAACTAAAAAACAACAAAAAATTGAAGGTCTATTAAGTAGTAATAAGTTATCCAAAGATACCTCTCTCTGTACACTTAATATACTTCTCATATATATATATAATATATATATATATATATATTTAATATACTTAAAACCTTTCCAGTTTAGTAGGACCTATCAAAGCTTATGTTTTTCTGTCACAGTTTTCAAGAATCCAAAATCCCCTCCACATCATTATGAGGCATTAGAGTATTATTTTTGTGGAAGATGTCATGTTTTTTATATATAAGAACAATTTTAAACAGACTAATTGTCTTACTAACTTGTACTATCACAACTCAGAAGAAGCAGACAGAATGCATTAAGGAAGTTAAAGATTATAGTTTTAGTTGTGGATAAACTTAATTCACAGCCTAATGATCTTTATCCATAGGTCACATTATTAAAGTTAAAAGAACTAGAATTCATTCTTGGGTGTAGTGGCACATTCTTGACATTATCTCTGGCTCATTAATGGCTGTCTTCCACTTCACTTTATTATTATACATTTATAGAACAGCAACATTTCCATGATAAACATAAAGCTGTAAGCAAATCTGGGTTAATATCTCCAAATGCTTCTTGGGGAACATTTTATAACTGATTGCCCTAAGGCCTACTGGATCTTTTAAAAACATAAATATCTGAGTGATACAATTTTGTCCCTGAGTCAAAACTCTCTGAGAAAAAGTTTGTTCCATAAATATGCTTTCATGTAATTTCCTTAATTGATATTTTATATTCCCCCCCCCCACTCCCACCATACCCCCCAACTAAAAAGCTTTGTGACCTTGGAAAAGTTATTTCACCTGTCTGGGCTTCAGGTATTTGTTTACCTGATAGGGGCTAGACCAGAAACCTCAAGTTTCTTCTAATTATAGGATCTGTGATTTGGTGATATTTTTGTTTTATAGATGGCTGATATGTGTACAGAAGAACTAAAACAACAGTTTGAGCAAGAAATAAAAATTATGGCAGAGTAAGTATTAAAAAGACAATTTTGTAGATGAAAGAACACCAGAAAAAAACCAAACAACCACCACCACCACCAAGCACCAGGAAAAAAAAAAGTGAGTGCTAGAATGAAGTTAGGAGATATAGGTTCTGTAGGAATAGAATGGCTATGACATAATCTGTGTAACCTTATTTAAGGCACATAACTTCTCTGGTTCTCAAATTCTATATGTAAAATGAAAATACAAGCATTAGATGAGATGAACTTTAAAGTCTTTTCTAGCTCTAAAATTCTGTTATTCTCATATCAGTATAACTATAGATAAGTAAATCAGCAAAATATATACACAGTCATATATTTTAAAATAGTATTATGAGAAATTATATAGAATTTCAGTTCTTACCATTATTAGTTATTTTAAGGTACAGAAGGTCCTCAGAATTCCCAAGGACAAGTATCTATAAGTAAGGAGATCACCAAATATCTCTAATAAAGATGTGGAGCTAGGCAAATAAATTTTGACACTGGCTGTGACTCCAACAAGCTACTTAACCCCTCTATACCTCAGTTTTCTCATCTGTAAAATGGGGATAATAAGACCTACTTCACAAGGTTGTTATGAGGATCAAATGAGATAACATAGATTGTGTTTTATAAATCTTCAAGAGCTGTATAAATGCTAGTTATTATTATTGTTATTGTTATTTTTCTTTAGTGTTTTTCTACCTCTTCTAAAAGGACCTCAGGTTCCAGGTTGTTAGGGAACAAATATGAAGGTTCCACTATCCTTGATGACAAAAAAGTAATTAAGGGTTTCTTGTTTTCCATTTTTCTTGTGTTCATCATCCCCTTTCCATTTTCATCCATGGGAAGACTGTTTCTTTATTTTTAAAACAGGTTTTATTCCTAACTGCTTCTCTCAGCTTTATGAAGTGTTATTGTCCATGATAGTCTATCATCATCCTATACTAGATTTTACAGAGCAGTTTATATACTAAATCAGTATTGCCTCTCCTAGCTGTCTTTCTTCATTTGGGAAGTAAGTCAAATGTTTATTTACTAAGGTGCATTATAAGTTCTTTTATCTCTTTATCATTTGTTAATTTACATTTGTTTAACTTGTGGATGAAGTTATTACAGCTGGTGTCCGTTGTCATTTCTGCTGTCCATTTGCCCTTTATTAATTTTCCATAACTTGTTTAAATCAGGACCAGATCTTTTAGAATGTATAACATATATTTTTTCATTGCTTTTTTTTTTCATGTTATAAAATTTTATCTTTGCTCTGACAAATTGATGGTCTGTTACATAGACATCTGCCTTAGGATAACTCACATTAATGTTGAATCTTTTCCTATGTACTAAAATGTAGTCAGTTTCATTCTTTGTGATGTTATTTAATATTTGCCATGTCCAAAGCTTACCAACATTTTTTTTTTGGTGTTTAAACAAGGTGTACATAATATAAATTTGTAAGGCTTCTGTATGATCTTTTTTTTTTCTTTTTTGAGACTAAGTCTCCCTATCTTGCCTCTGTTTGAAGTTCAGAGGCTAATTATGTGCCCAGTCCCACTACTGATTGGCAGTTTTACCTCTGTTTCCAAGTTGGTCCAGTTCACTCCTTTTTAGGCAACTTAGTGGCCCCTCTGCTCTTATGGGCTCATAATATTAATGCTGAACCTACTGTGGACACCCTACCAACTTAGCCCACTACAGCTCAGAACTCAAGTTCAAAAGATCCACCAATTACCAATCCCTAGTAGCAGTTATTACAGGCATGTGCCACCTAGGAAAATCTATAAGTCTTTGGCCTCTCTCATTTCTTTCTTCTGAACCAGACTTTCCCATTTATTTCTTCCATCCTTGCTTTTTCCCACATTTGCATTGAAGTCACCAAGTATTTTGAGTGTATTTTGATTTGATTTGGGAAATCTTAGTAAGTTCTTCATGGAATTTCTTTACCATTTCATCCTCAGTAATTAATGTTGCATCATTTACACTTATTTCATTGGTGGTCTTTCTGTAAAAATAATTAATACTACAATTCATGATGACTTAAAATGTCCCATGAAATAATCTCTCTTGTAGCTTTTGGCCATATGATAAAACCCACTGCTATCTCCTTTGCTTGTCCAGCAAGTGTTTGTGAATCATCCTTTTATTTAGCTTTAACAAAATCAAAAGGGAAAATTAATTTGAGGGGACATTCTTTTTTTTTTTAAATATAAATTTATTTATTTTTAGTTTTCAACATTCACTTCCACAAGTTTTTGAGTTCCAAATTTTTGCCCCATCTCACCCCTCCCCTTACCCCAAGATGGCATGCATTCTGAATATCCCTTCCCCATGTCTGTCCTCTCTTCTATCTCTTCCCCCCTTCTCTTATCCCCTTCCCCTTCTATTTTCCTGTAGGGCAGGATAGACTTCTATACCCCATTTCCTGTATTTCTTATTTCTCAGTAGCATGTGAAAACATTTTTTTTGTATAAACATATGTTTTTAAAACTTTAGGCTTCAAATTTTCTCGCTTCCTCTCTCCCCACCCACCCTCATTGAAAAGGCAAACAACTCAATATAGGTTATACATGTGCAGTTATGCAAAACACTTCCATAGTAGACATGTTGTGAAAAACTAACTCTATTTCCCTTAATCCTATCCTGCCCTCCCATTTATTCTATTCTTTCTTTTGACCCTGTCCCTCCTCAGAAGTATTTCCTTCTGATTACCCGCTTTCCCAATCTGCCCTCCTCTCTATCATCCCCCTGCTCTCTTGTCCCCTTCTCCCCCTATTTTCCTGTAGGGTAAGACAGATTTCCATACCCAATTGAATGTGTATGTTATTCCCTCCTTAAGCCAAATCCTATGAGAATAAGATTCACTCATTCCCTCTCACCTTCCCTTACTTCCCCTCCACTGTAAGAGACTTTTCTTTTCTGTTTTTTTTGTGAGATAATTTACCCCATTCTACCTCTCCCTTTCTTCTTCTCTGAGTATCATCCTCTCTCATCCCTTAATTTTATTCTCCAGATATGACCCCTTAATCTTCAACTCACCCTGTGCCCTCTATCTATCTCTATCTATCTATCTATCTATCTATCTATCTATCATACATATAATTTTTTCCTCAACTACCCTAATACTGACAAAGGTCTCATGAGTTATAAATATCATCTTTCCATGCAGGAATGTAAACAGTTCAATCTTAATAAGTCTCTTATGATTTCTCTTTCCTGTTTACCTCTTCATGTTCCACTTGAGTCCTGTATTTGAAAGTCAAATTTTCTATTCAGCTCTGGTCTTTTCATCAGAATGCTTGAAAGTCCTCTATTTCACTGAATGACCATTTTTTCCCCTGAAGGATTATACTCAGTTTTGCTGGGTAGGTGATTCTTGGTTGTAATCCTATCTCCTTTGCCCTCTGGAATATTATTATTCCATGCCCTGTGGTCCTTTAATGTAGAAGCTGCTAAATCTTGTGTTATCCTGATTGTGTTTCCACAGTACTTGAATTGTTGCTTTCTGGCAGCTTGAAATATTTTCTCCTTGCCCTGGGAACTCTGGAATTTGACTATAATATTCCTAGGAGTTTTCCTTTGGGGATCTCTTTCAGGATTCTTTCAATTTCTATTTTGCCCTCTGGTTCTAACATATCAGGGCAGTTTTCCTTGATAATTTCTTGCAAGATGATGTCTAGGCTCTTTTTTTGATCATGGCTTTCAGATAGTCCAATAATTTTTAAATTCTCTCTCCTGGATCTATTTTCCAGGTCAGTTGTTTTTCCAATGAGATATTTCACATTGTTTTCTAATTTTTTTTCTTTTGGATTTGTTTTACAGTGTCTTGATTTCTCATAAAGTCACTAGCTTCCAATTGCTCTTTCTAATTTTTAAGGAAGTATTTTCTTCAGTAATCTTTTGGACTTCCTTTTCCATTTGGCCAATTTTTCTTTTTAGGGCATTTTTCTCCTCATTGGCTTTTTGGACCTCTTTTGCCATTTGGGTTAGGCTGTTTTTTAAGGTGTTATTTTCTTCAGTATTTTTTTGGGTCTCCTTTAGCAAGCTGTTGACTTGTTTTTCTGATTTTCTTGCATCACTCTCATTTCTCTTCCCAGTTTTTCCTCTACTTCCTTACTTGCTTCTCAAAATCCCTTTTGAGCTCTTCCAAGGCCTGGACTGATTCATATTTTTCTTGGAGGCTTTGGATGTAGGAGCTTTGACTTTGTTGTCTTCTTCTGGTTGTATTTTGATCTTCTTTTTCACCAAAGTAAGATAATATAGTCTGACTCTTTTTGCGCTGCTTGCTCATGATCCCAGCCAATTACTTGAGTTTTAAACTCTTTGTTAAGGTAAGAGTCTGCTTCCAATGTGGAGAGTGTACTGTCCCAAGCTTCGGGGGGTTTGTATAGCTGTTTTCAGAGATACTTGTAGGGACCTGTAAATTTTCAGTTCTTCTAAGGTGGTATGATAAGGGGCGAGGTGTTTACTCCTTTCTGTCCTGTAACTGTGAGGAGGGGCTCCTTTCCACAGCCACTACAAGCTCCTCCATGCCAGCGTTCCTCCTCACCCCAGCACCACCGCCCAGAACTGTGACCCAGATCCAAACACGGGCAAAACAAGAGATTCCTGCCTCAGTACTGGCAAAGAGATTCCTGCAATCCCTCTCTGATCAGCCACTGGATTCCCCCTCAGTCTGTGGGCTGGAAGCTTGGGAAGCAGCTGCCCCTGCCAGGGCCTTGCTCTTGGGGAATGGAGCTGAAACCCTGCCTTCCTCTCTGAGCACCGCAGAAACAGACTTTTCCCACTGACCTTCTAAGTTGTCTTTGGCATTCGGGGATTGAGCAGTCTAGAAACCACCACAGCTGCCCGCGATTCAGTCCTCTGAGGCCTGCTCCAGGTTTGCTGCTGCCTGCGCCTTGGGGGGACATTCTTAAGGGGTGACACAATTCATGGAATTATAAAGAAAGAAATCTAAGGGCCTTCATAGCTGTTTTGGTCAGAAAGGCCGTCAGTATTGTTGGTGATTG